TAAAAACAAGGAAAAGACCTTAAAAGACTTTTAAGCAGTGATGTAACTAGATTTGAATCTCAAAATGATGCTTTTGGCTATCAGGTGGAGAATGGGTCAGACTGGCCAGAGGAAATGTAGTGAGGCCAGTTAATTATTTTGGATAGAGATGATAGTAGTGTGGATTAAAGTGGTGATGACAGTGATGTTGAAAAGTAGATTATTTTTAAGGATATTTAGGAGGTGAAATGACTAAGCTCAGTGATACACTGGATGTATTTACTACTTTTATGAATCTACTATTACATTAATAAATACATTGAGAACAGTAGGCAATAAATCTGCCTTTTAAGCAAGGCTATGAAAAAATAAAAATGCTTTGTAAATGTCTGTGTAGCACATATGAATGAAAACACATATTTTGGAAATTCACCAATTTTAGACTGTTTAGATTTGTAGACGGAAAGTAAATATATCTTAGGATAGAAAATAACAGGTGAGGGGTGTGTGTGTGTGTGTGTGTGTGTGTGCAGGTGCATGTGTGTAACAAATTACCCTCACTGGCTTCTCTTCCAAATTAAATCACATGTTTTAATTTAAGGAGCATGTTTAAATGTATAAAAATAAGAACCTTAGGATTCAGAGAAAATTTCCATAAAGAATAGGAGTTTAAAATAAACTTAACAAAAAAACCAGTGAAATAGAAGGGCTGATTGACATATAAGTGCAATGCTAGCTTTCATTCTAAAAAGTTAGTGGGAATCTCAATAAAGATTCCCAAGAGCCTTTGTGCTCTGATGAAAGGGGTGGGGGTGATGTCGGGGGCTCACTGGAAAAGAAGAAGCTACTCTCCACTCTTTACTACCAGGCTGGGGGTATGATCCCTGTATCTGCAAAGTCAGAGCCCTGCATGTACAAATTTATAATGTTTTTCAGATACAATGAAACATCATTTTTCATTCATTTAATGCTAATTTACTAACAACCAGAATCCCAGGATTTACTTTTCAGGCTGGAGCTCCTATTCTGCACTATTTAGATTGCAACAATAATAAAATGGCTTCCAAGAAAATGATGGAGCCGCTTTTCCAGATCTGCTCTTTAATGTATTTATTTGATAGTTAATGGTGCAAAATTTGAAATGTAAGGAAAGACACATTCACTACAAAAAAGGAGGAGGGGGAGAGAAAAACCAGGAAAATGTTTCTTTGTAAAATGTTTTTTTCTTTATAATTCCAAAGACAAAATTAATTTACAGCATCACTGAAGAAAAGACAAATATTTGAAAACTTTCTAACCTTCTGAATCATTTAAATTAAATTTGCACGGTGAATGTGAGCATATAAAGAACATTATTATCATAAACTCTATAGCAATGGCCATTTTCTGGCAGGAGGTTAGGAGCTGAGTCATGATAGCACACAGTTTGGGCTCTGCATGGCTTCCCTCCCTTCTTCCTGCCTCCCCTGATTTGCCCTTTTTCAAAGGTTTTCAACCATTCCCTGCAAGTTATAGAAAACAAGTGACTTCATTAATATATAAAATTGTCAAACGAAACACAGAAAATTAGTAGCATGGAAATAATAGTCTTATTCTCTGTTTAAAAGGTGAAATAAAAGACAGAAAGCCCCACCCTAAAATGCAAGCCCTAAATATCCTCTGCTCCATTCTTAACGTTCCTCACCTCTATCTCACAGTGTTTCTGTAAGTCTTCAGACTGGGGGGTGGGGGGAGGGCACTTGTGCTTCTTTGCATTTCTTGGTGGGAGGGGTTATCACTTCTATTCACAGCTGAGAGGTGGGAAGGACTTGGAATTGCTGTAGAAAATGTTGAAATTTTAAATGTATGGAAGTCATTAAATTATAGTTATGGTTCTTAAAGGAAAAAACTATTGGTATTATATATACTGAATTTATATACTATCGCCAGAGCAGTTGCTTGAGTACGTTTTATGCCAAAGAGGTAAAAACAAATTTTATGTAAACAAACCATAACTTTAAATTTCTTCATATTCTGCATTTAAAATTTCAATCCCAGAAATTTTGTCTCAAAATTTAGAAATAACTGATATAATGCTGCCTCTTATGTGTAGCTGTTTGTGATTATGTCACCATAGTTGGTGGGTACTAAAATTTGGTGTAAGATCAGTTGAAAGCACCATAAAAGAAATAAATAACAATGTTATTTTCATTTCTAGATTTCACCAGCTCTAGGGTATATACATTTGTCCCAGGGTGTTGATAGACGTGCCCTGATCCAGTCACACCTCCTCCCCCCATGAATCTTTTGTACACACAGACATATGCATACCTTTCAACATCCAAGATGTGCAGTTGAGCTCAACAGTGAAGTCTTTGTTTTGGCCAAGCTAAATGATACGTGTAAACTTAGACTCTTTGTATTTTGCTGTAAGTCCAAATCACTATCCATTTTCTTTTTCTGAATGATTTAGGACCTTAGAGAAGGGGCTACAGCTATTATGAGGGACAAAATTATATTCTAATGTGTTTTTGAGCTCAGATGCTCTTAAAGATCCATGGAGTGATTGGGTAAGGCACTAATGTCCACAAATTTCAATGAGCTGGCAATCTCCTTCAACTTTCAATCCTTTTGTTCTAAGTAATTTCTCCTTTCTTAATAAGGGAGAGTCAAAATATTTATGCTACTTGCTGGCATGGTTCTTTGGTAACCTAAGCAAAGTATAAGCAGATGGAAAAATAACAATTTGCATAATACTATCATCTACTGTAGATTAAACACATGGAAATAGGAAATTAATCTTAAAACTGAAAAATATCTATTGTCCTAGCAGGTATTACTACTATGACTGATTATGCGTTCTGAGTATAATATTAAATGCAGACAAATCAATCATATAGGAAAATAATCTTTTATTACTAGAAAAGTCGATCTCTTTGTTCAATTTAAATACCTTATATTTGATCCCTATGGTTAAAAATCTCTGATGATTAGGAAAGGGTTAATTCTCAATATATTGCATAAGATAGGTTTCTGGAGATATATTTAGGAATTCATTTATTAGTGACATGGGCTGAAGTCAAACCTTAAAGCCAAAGAGATTTATTTTTTCAATCTCTTTCAAGTCACCTAATAAAAGGAACAGGGGTTTGGGGGCCAGAATGACCTGGCTTTAAATCATAGCTGGGTTTCTTGCTAGCTGTGAAGTCTTCGGGAAATCACTTAACCATAACTATCTATTTTTTACCCTCCTAAAGTGGGGTGAATACCACTTACCTTGCAGAGTTGAGAAGTGTCCAGGGCATGGTAATTACATGGTAATTATTATAGTCACACAGAAAGTAAATAGGAAGACACTGATTACTTATGTATTTCATATCATTCACAAAGCTCAGTGTTAATTATATAATGCTTGTAAGTAATGATCACATAATAATGTAATCTCTCAGCAAAATCTCTGCTGCATGCCATGCAAGTATTTTTCCTAAGTATTATACCTGTATCAATGTTCAGTATTCACAAGAACTCTATGAGGTACTATTTATTATCCTCATTTTACCAATAAGGAAACTGAGGCACAGAGAGGTTAAGTAATTTGCTCACAGAGCAGAGTCAGGATTCAAACCCTGGCAGTATGACTGCAGAGCTTATGCTTCAAATCACTTCATTAAAAACCTGAAGATAACATTAATATAAGATTATAGCCATTCACTCATCAAATATGTATTGAATACATACAAAGTGCTACATTTTGTGCCAGGCACTAGTGTCCCAAATCTGTATTTGTCAAAATACAGAACCTACAACCTTTAAGGAGCTTATGATTTGGCAACTGGAGAAAAGTATACACCTCAAAGTGATGACTCAAAAAGTTGTATTTCTCTGGATTTAAAAAAAAAGTCTTCTTCATATTACTATTAATAACAATACAATTCTAAAAATTATGGTACAACCATAATTTACTTATAGAACTAAATAGGGTTTCTATATCTTCTAAATAAAAGTGAATAAAAGTGTCACTGCACTCTGTTCATCTTCACGTCAAGATCATACACAAAAGAACAGATAAGAACAGATACAAAAATTATTCTTAATGTTATTACTATAGTGTGTCTAACATACTACCACAAAAATGGGTCACAAAAAAATGTCTGGTCATTAAGAATACCAAGAATTTGGTCAAAAGGTAGATCAATGGTAAAAGTAACTCAAACAAGTAGCAAAGGACACTAGATAAAGGAGTCCTATTTTGACGCACATAGAGATAAAAGCAGTGACCCCATGACCAGGTATATGGATTTCATGCCTCTATTAATTTTTTGTCTTTTCCTTCCTCTTCCCCCTCTATAAGTCTTCACCATTCTTTTTAACTACACAAAAAATTAAGTAAGTAGGCTTCTGATTACCTGAAAAAACTTTATGGGTTTTAGAATTAAGGTTACTCTCATTTACTTTATGATAGAATAGTTATACCATATCAAAATAAAAAAACAACTGTGCACAATGTATAACTGTGGAAAATATAGTATAATACCTATAATGTGTATAAAATAAAATGATTTTGTTAAAATATAGTGTTACCCTTGTAAGCTTAACCATTTTTTTTTAAAACAACTGTACTACTGCATACTACTAATTACGTAAATTAAAATTGGGCCAATAATCTAATAGCAGTAGGTTCTGCCTTTTATCCTTTTTTTTTTTTTTTTTTTTTTTAAAGGGGAAACAGGTTGTTCAGAAGCCAAGAGGGTTAGTAAAAGGAATGGAATCATTTTCAGTTCAGTTTGGGTAAAAGTTATTCTAAAGAGCAATGACTCCCCCCACCCACCCACCCTTTTGCCATAAACAGTAGAAACCAAAGGACAGTTAACAACATGGAAATCAAATGGAAAAGTTGTTGTAAGTGATCTTTAAAAGGCACTTGCATGTAACTAATACGAAACTACTGGTTTTGCAAGTATCACCAATCTAGACAGGAACAGCATTTCCTTGGTTCCCTGTCCAAAGAGGGAGAGCTCTCAATACCCCCACACAGTGCTCACCTGATTCTGTTTGTCTTCTGGCAACCCCTGGTATATGGCTGAAACTTGCAGGTATTTTCCCAAGATAAGGTTGCTTCCCGTCCCTCCTTTTTATTGATTGTCTGCAATTCCCTCGGCTAAAAAACACGCATCCTTTATATTTTTAAAGTTTATTTAGCTTTTCAAGTGCTGTTGTGGGATTCTCGAATTTTTTTTAAGAGGAAGTCTGAAGGTCCCTTGTAGTAAGGTTTCAGGTACATCGATTGAATCTTTCATTTGCTTATGTACAGAACACTTTTACATTTGCTTTTAAATTTCACTTGCTGGCTTGAAACTTCTTGGAGGAAGAAAACAGTATCCTTTTAAGTTATTGCCTAATTATTGGCATCTAATTCACATCATGCCTCATTGGAGTATATATCTAACATTCCAAAGGCAGTATTTTCCTTTCCAATTCAGTCATTATGAGATGATATCAATGATTTTCTGTAGTAAAAAAAAAAAAATGCATTGTTTGTGATTCAGTTCACCTCAGATTCTCAGACGTAACCTTATTTGTGCGGTTTATTCAAATAGTGGTTTTCCTTATGAAATCCTGTAAGGAGGAACCATCTGGAAAGGTTACTGTGGAAACGGCAGGGGCTAGGGGGTGGGGCTAGAGAGCAAGAGATGCCATGACAACCTTTTTCGGGTTTCCCAGGAAACATGGGTTGCTATGGGAACTGCATCAGTCAGGTCAGAATTAGTAACTTCCGCTGGAAGGAGTGTCTGCCACTTTAATCTTCTTGTGATACTGCAGAAGCTTATCTCGCAGACACATTAGGAATTCTGTTTGTTTCTCTCAGCAGCACTGAAAACATCTGTTTCTACACTTGGATAAGATGTTGCCTGGAACACACATACTGAACTTCAGAGGAATCTGCCTGTCTACCCCCCTTTCGAAATGCTTACCAAGCCCCAAAGAGTTCAACTAATTAGTCAGATCAGGACACCTCGGACATTTCCCTTTGTTCAAAGTTGTAGAAGTCTTTAAAATTCCGGGAGGGGTTCCAAACAGAAATCCCAGTCAAAAACCAAATAAACTTATGGTGGGTTTACAAGTCATTGTTCTAATTAGACTTCTCATCCACGTATCCACAACGAAGACAACTGAACTAAATATTCAATAATGTTAAAAGGTCCAGTAAACGGAAGCATCCTTTAAGTATGTGCCTTCTTTACTTAGTAAAGAAACAACTGTCTTTCAATTCTGAGGTTAGGCAGTTATTCTAACTGTTCTTTAGTTTCATTTCTTCCCAGGATGTACTTTTTTTTTTTTTTTTTAAACAGGGTGTGTACTAGAAATGAAGTTTAAAGTAAGTTTGTTCTTTGCGATATTAGGGGAGGGAGGGGGGGAGAAAAAAATGGAGAGCTGAGAGAATGCAGCCCACTTCCAAAACAGACACCTGTTTCAGTATGAAGCAGTAGGGAGAGGGAAAATGAAGTGTGCTTTCCACTTCTTCACGTCCTTTCCTTGATGAATGGTCTGGAAATGTATAAAACAAGGGCATACACAGACCAAGGGGGCACGTTCCACACAATACTGAGCACAGCATGTCACTTAGAGCATATACTACACGTCAGTAAATATCTTTTTGATGTTGACACAGGAGTTGGGATTATTGTTCGTGGTGCAGGTGGCAGTGGAATTGCCCGTTTTGAAAGGGGTCTGGGGGAAAGCGCTATGGTTCATGCCCCCCTCTTCGATCACCATATACTCCGACTTACTCAGAGTGGAGTTACTCCTTGCTTTTCGGAGCTCCTCGGCCGAAGAGGAGAGGTGCTGGCAACTTCCCACGTGCATGTACTGGGCTTGCTCTTCCCCTTCTGTCTCCCGGTGGTAGAAGTAATTGAAGTTGGAAACAATCACGGGGACTGGCAAAGCAATGGTCAAGACACCAGCGATGGCACAGAGCGACCCCACAATCTTGCCCCCTATGGTCACCGGGTGCATGTCACCGTAACCTACTGTTGTCATGGTTACCACTGCCCACCAGAAGGCATCCGGGATACTGCTAAAACCCGAAGTGGGGTCGTCTGCCTCGGCAAAGTAGACCGCGCTGGAGAAAAGGATGACCCCAATGAAGAGGAAGAAGATAAGCAGCCCCAGCTCCCGCATGGAAGCCTTCAGCGTCTGGCCCAGGATCTGCAGCCCCTTGGAGTGCCGGGAGAGCTTGAAGATGCGGAAGACCCGCACCAGCCGGATGACCCTCAGGATGGCCAGGGACATGGCCTGCTGTCCATTGCCCTGTCGCTCAGCCAGCTCGGTGCCCAGAGTGATGAAATAAGGGATGATGGCCACGATGTCTATCAGGTTCATAATATTTCGCGAGAAGGTGGCTTTGCTGGGGCAAGCGAAGAACCGCACGAGCAGCTCAAAGGAGAACCAGATGATGCACAGGGTCTCCACCACGAAGAAGGGATCCGAGAAGCTGGAGGCTCCGGCGGGGGCCCCCGACGTGCTGTTGCTGGCCGCCTCGAACTGCTCCTGAGACGACGCGGCGGGGTAGTCCTTCTCGTCGCGGAACTCGGGAAGCGTCTCCAGGCAGAAGATGACAATGGAGATGAGAATGACGAGCACGGACACGATGGCGATGCCCCGAGCCGGCCCGGAGCTCTCCGGGTACTCGAAGAGCAGCCACACCTGGCGCTGGAAGTCGCGGCGGGGCAGGGGCCGCTCCTCCTCCCGCAGGAAGCCCTCGTCCTCGCGGAACTTCTCCATGGCCTCCTCGCCCAGCTGGTAGAAGCGGATCTCCTCGGAGAAGATGTCGATGGGCACGTTGACCGGCCGGCGGATGCGGCCGCCCGACTGGTAGTAGTAGAGGATGGCGTCGAAGCTGGGCCGGTTGCGGTCGAAGAAGTACTCGTTGCGGAGCGGGTCGAAGTACCTCATGCGCCGCTTGGGGTCGCCCAGCAGCGTCTCCGGGAACTGGCAGAGGGTCTTGAGCTGCGTCTCGAAGCGCAGCCCCGAGATGTTGATGACCACGCGCTCCCCGCAGCAGTCCTGCTCGCCGGCGGCCGGCAGCGCGGGCGGCAGCGGCTCGTAGCGGTCGCGGTCGCGGTCGCAGCCGCCGCCGCCGCCACAGCCGCCCTGAGGCGGGCCCCCGCCGCCGTCGGCCGCCTCCGGCTCCAGCAGGTGGTCCCCGGGCACCACCGTCATGTCGGGCGGCAGCGCGGGGCCTGCGGCGGGCTCGGCGTAGCCGGGGTTCACCAGGGTGTGGGCGCCGCCGCCGCCGCTCGCGGGGCGCTGCGGCGGGTGGGCGCGGTGGCGGGCGGAGGGCGGCGGCGGCGAGCGCAGCAGGCTGAGGTGCTCGTCCATGCGGCGGGAAGAGGCGGCGGCGCGGGCCGCGTCGCTCCTCCTCGCGCTCCCCGCCCCTCCGCCGCCTCCGCCCCCCTCTCCCCCCGAGTCGGGCCCGCCGCCTGTTGCTGCCGCCGCCAGGCTCCGTGTGCATCTGGCGCGGTCCGCCGGGCTCCTCCGGGGAGACGCCTCCCCGCCCGCCTCCGCGCTCCCCGCCCCTCCCCCGCGGGGCGCGCGCCCGCCCGCCTCTCCGCGGCCCCTCAGGATGCCCGCCCACCGCGCGGGCGCGCGCCCCGCTCCCCCCCAACTCCGCTCCCCCGCGCCGCCCAGCCGGGCCCCTCGCTGCCCGCTGCCGGCTGCCCGCGCCTCGCCCCTCTGGGCCGCCCAAGCGCCCTCTCTTTGCACCTCGGCGTCCCCCGCGATACCCGCCCGGCCGAGGCGGCCCTCAGGGAATCAGGCCCCCGGACCCCCGCCGGCCTCTGGTCAGCGCCCCCCCTCTCCCGGCCCGCGAGGCCACGTCCCAGCCGCGGGGCTTTCTGGCCCGGCCTGGGCCACCCCGCCGCCCAGCGAGCGGCGGCCGCCTCGCCTTGCACGCGCCACCGGGGCCCCGCTCGGGGAGAAGGGCTCAGAGGGGCCGGGGAGGGCGAGGAGAGAGGATGGGGATGCGCGCTGGGCGGGGAGCTTGGTCGAGGGAGGGAATGACTGGCCAGGTGGGCGCCCTGGGGAGCAGGCCAGCCCTCTGCTGGCACCCTGAGCCTGCTGAGGCTGGAACACCTCCAGGCCGGGAGCACTCTAAACACTTCAGCTCCTGCGTGCGTGAGGAGCCCAACGGAGTAATGGGTGCTGATGAGTTTCGCACCGGGGGTCTGAAGAAGATGGGTCATTAAAGGCATTCAGGGACTTTGCTTCGGTAGCGAATAGTTCTCACAAACGTTCGTGGCTGAGATTTCGGGGGGGGGGGGGCGGAGAATCAAGGACCGAGTTTCTGGTTGGGACTGGCGAGGGCAGCCTGGTCTTCTCAGAAGAGCGAGGTTTCCTGTCGTGGGAACATGAGAGGAAAATGAGAAAGGAAGATCACATCTCGTCCGAAGTCTGTCGTGGAGGGACTGGAGCGAGACTGGCACCTAGACCCTCAGTGTTCCACTGCTGGCTTTGTGGTAGAGTTTGCCACGCTCTAGTTGGGAAACTTCGAGAACATTCAGCCGGCAACATGTATCTCTGTTGCTTGATTTGGGCCTGGAGATGACAACTTTATCCCCTTTGAACCTAAACTGTTTCTTCAAATTGTTGTGGTCATTTTGAACACAATTTCTGTGTCTAGACATTTTAGCGACTCCAATTTAGAGCCAACCCTAGGCTTTATAATGTATTTCCCACTGTATCATTCAAATCATTTACAAAAGAGGAACTGTTGTCTGGACTACTCCCTCACCCATCATCCCTTAGCTGACGCTTCGATGGCAAGTAAATGCGATTTGTGGTCACTGCTTCCCACCACCACTGCAACCGAGGCTCTCTAGGGCAGAAACCAGGTCTTACTCCATTTATACACCTGGAAACTACCAAAGTGCCTGATAAGTAGTAGGAACTCAGTATGTTTGTCGAATTGAATTCCCCAACAAGTGATGCTTTGTATTTCTATCTGCTCTGGAGTGTCAGGCATTTCTCCTTTCTGAACCCAGGATCACTGGGATTCCTGGGATAAAGAGTGAGGGGAAGCAGCTCACAGTATGTACATTACTCAGTTATTCCACCTGGGCCTTTTCTGGATACAACAAGCACTTATGTTCTTTACTGTCCTTTTATCTTTCACTTTACCTCTAGGTCAGTGCCAGGCACTGCAGATGGTATATTTTAAGATGGAAAAAGTAGACAGGGATGTAAAACACTCTCACAAAACTGAACACTGATTTTGAGCTGGTGATTAGGGTAGCAGTATAATCCATCATTCATATATTTAAAGCTAAGAATAAGACGGCTTGCTGCAAGTTGGCTCATAGAAAGGCAAAGACCCTATTTTTAAAGACCAAATATTTCATGCACTTCTGTGTCTGACCTAGAAAGTGATTTATTTCTCCATTTGCAGGAATTAGTACTGGAATTAATATTAATCAATGGCAAGGAAGACCAGAACAGAGGATGGTCCTTTGATGGATGGTCCTGTGAAGTATCTTTCCTTCAGAAATGACTCTTTCCATTCCTTTCATATATTTGCCTTGTCTGGAAGACTGATTACGAGCTTCTTAGGACAGCCTTCAGTTTAGATTTGAGGCCCAGAGACGTTTAGCAGTTTGTTCAAGCCCACACAGCTGTTTAGTGGCAGAGCTGGGCCTAAAATCTTGGACCATTTCCAAATCCAATGTTCACTCTACTGTATCACACTGTGAAACTCTTATGTTGATCACTGTGAGTGCTTAATAAATATTAGATTTCTAACAGCAGCCCATTTGCTTCTGATTGCTGACTAGTTCACTTCAATTCATATTTATTTTAACTGAAAACCATTGCCTTCTGACAGCTAGTCTGTTGTTTATAAGAAATGATTTGGTGGGCGAATTCCAGCCCTGTTGGACAGCAGAACCCATCACAACAAATCAATGTCAAAAATGGCACTTCATGAGGAACACATACCATTTATTCAGTACCCCCAGTGGAGTAGCTCAAAGTAATTTGAAAATGTCTCATTAATCCTTGTGACACCCCTGTGGGATAATAATAATATTATTATAATGTTTAAGCATAAAACTGTGGCAAAACCAACAGCTTCTCTGAGCATGTGCAGATTTTCCCCATATTTCAAGTCTTCACTCTTAGAGCCTAAGTAAAACCATCAGGTTTGCAAACAGCAAGGGTAAGTCTTGGTTTGGGCTTTCTGTGTTGCTCTGGACATAGCTTGAGTTTCTTACTGATCACAACAGCCCTAGAAGTAGCTCGCCGATGATTTGCCAGATGGTTAACAGCTTCTGGAATAGGTCCAGAAGTGTTTGAGAGTGGGACAAGGCAGGTCTAGAAGTTACCACTGTTTATAACGATAGATAAATGAGTGAAAAAAAACCCCACCTACTATGTGCAAGGTATTGTTCTAGGTACCGTGGGATTATGGAGTTTGAACGTAGACCTTGCCCTCAATAGACTTGCATGGAGTTGGGAAGGTAGGATACAAGTCTTGTGAAAATCTTTACCACGGCATTAGTTAACAAATCAGTCAGTAGTACCAGAAATGTCACAAGATGCCCTGTGGCTATTTGGTCTATTCTAGCCAAGCTGCTACCTGCTGTTTCTCAATCATACTAAACTGGTTCCTACCTCAGGGACTTTGTACTTGTTCTTCCCTCTGCCTGAAACACACTTTTTCCAGAGTCTCACATGGCTTTCTCCATCACTTTAGGTCTCTGTTTAAAATGTCCCTTCATCAGAGGGGGACTCCCAGACCGCAAATTTCAGAGAATTCCCCTTTCTCTCCCCCTCACCCCCGGAACTTTCTAACTTCTTACCTGCTTTATTTTTCCTTATTGTGTTTATTTACTTGAAATTACATTTTACATTTATTTGGTTACTTGCTTACTGACTATCTCCTGCACTAAAACATAAACTCCCCGATGGCAGGGTTTTGACTTTTTTACTTGTATGTCACCAAAATCTAGACTAATACCTGGCACACACTAGATGTTTAATCAGTATGTGGTGAATGGTGGAAAGAGAAGGTGCAAAGTGAACTCACAAAGCATATTAAGGTATAGTGAGTGAACCAGTTTGCCAGTGTAGAGGGGTTATTCTGGAGAGGTATCTGTTCAGTTCTGGTTCTGTCTCCTAGAAACAGCTAGGCTGCACAGATATGCATGCCTAAGTTGTTTTTTAAAGTGTCACTTCCTCTTTCTCTTGCCCTCCCCCCCCGCCACCCTCCTGGATGGGTCTGTCCTGCACTCCGGAATTTTATTCTAAACTGCCCACTTGGATATTCTTCCTAAAGAGATCCCAAACTTAATATTTATAGCACTGAACTCATTATCTTTCTCTCCAACATTGCTTCTCTTCCTGTTTCTCGTATTTCATGCTAGAATACGAAGTCATCCCCGAATCACTCCTCTGCCCCCCACATCCAGTCGCTCACCAAGTGCTTTCTGTTCTCTCTCCAAATCCCTCTCATTTCATTCTTGCTGTCACTGCCCCAGTTCAGGCTGTAATGACCATGTCATAACAGGCTCCCCGCTTTCAGTCTCTCTTTTATGTATTGCATCCTCCAGGAAGTAGCTGAGTTATTTCTGTAAAACATCGATTTGATTATATTGCTCTCTAGTGCCGCCATGATGGTTGAACCCTGGTGCTGACTTGACCTGTGGCAGCAGCTTCTGTGTTCTTTCCACACCACTTACTGGTCCTTGGACATGCCACCCATTTGCAGACTGTTATGCCTCTCCTCATGCTAGCCGCTCATGCTCTAGCTCACTGGACACCCCTTCTACCTTTTTCCCACTGGAAAATTCAATCCTCAAGGATTGAAGCTTAGATGTCACCTTTCCCCCCCCATGACTGTCAGCCATGATTACCACTGCAAAGAACACTCGATAAAACTGATTATAAATGAATTCATGATTTTCTTTCTCATCGGCGGTCCTATGGCATTTTGTTCAGAGCTCCATAAGAGGGCTTTACTGTACTATATTTAATGTGAATGATAAGGTCTGTTTCCCTATGAGAGTGTGAACTCCTTAATACTAATAGCTAACATATTGAACAATGAACACGCTGTGCTAAGCCAGGACTGTGCTAAGCACTTTATATGCAGTAACCTCCAAACTACCTACCAACCTGTAGGTAGGTAATGTTACTACTATACTACTTCACACCTAGAGAAACACTGGAGGATAGGCAAAGTCACTCCTGCAAGATCACACAGGATTAGGACTTGGCAGAAGCAAGATTCAAACTGAGAAGTCCATATTCTCAAGTTCTTCCTTAGATCAGCTTTGCAAGTGTCAGAGGGCTTGTCTCACTCCTCTGTGTATTTCCAGTCTCTAGTGCTGGTCTGTGAGAAATGATTTTTGAATAGTATAATTGAAGAAAACCAATTATGAAGCGTGAATGCTTGGTTCACTAAAAACTGATGGATAGACCACGATGAAGGTGTCAATCCTGTACC